GTGACAACGTCATATGACCGTCCCGAAGTGCCACCCGCGAAGAAACCCTGGTGCGGCCGTGACACTTTTGTAATGTCCACCAAAATCCAATTTCCAAGTAAACGAAATCAGTTAATGTGGCAAGCGATGTCTCGTTCCCTGAGTAGAGTAGAGTTATAACCCTGTTACACGGGCACCGTTAACTGCCGTAAACTCACCTTTAACGGCTGTTTTTTGGCACCACAGTTACCGCACTATCCTCTCGGATATAGCTATTTCAGAAGAAGTGAAGAGCTTGCGTGCACTGTTTTGATGGGTGCTCAAAATGCTCAAGCGCAGGGGCGATCATAGCTTTGACTGCGTGTGCCAACTGTGGCTTAGAGTATAACTGCAGTCAAATGTGCCCGTGTGACGAGGGTATAGAGGTTCACAGCCCGTCATTTAGTACGCCATGTCACGTTCCCACGTCACGGTGAGCGGAGGACGTCACCTCCATGTTGATTTTTCAGGTCAGTGGCTTTCTTAATAGTCTAAATGTTTGGTGCATAGCCTCCCCTATACGGAGTGCAAGTGTTACAAAAGGCGTCTTCCGTGCATCGGAACGCAAGGAGAGGCACGGCAATCAGCAGGAGAGAGCAAAAGAACGCATGGAACGTGCGATGACAGACAGTCAAGCGCCGTTCACACTTGCAACCCAATAGGAGAGAGTAGGGTGCCTACATGTTTCCGCCGCTCCGCTGTTTAGGGTGGCGACAACGTTTGTGGTACCTGTTGCCGACAAACCAGTGTTGCCTACCTCGTTACCATGGCAACCTCCGATGTTTTCGTCGACCATTTTGTCTCACTCGCCGGTTGTGCGCTCGGACTACGTCGCTAATCCTCGTTAGGGATAGGGAGCGCTCACCGCTCTCGTTCCGACGGCGAGGTTTTGGCGTTCAACGCCGGTCTGTGGCGTTCCATTTTGCCGCGGGAACTCGCGTTTCGATAAAAAGCAACGCACACTTCCTGCTCGCAAGTTCAAAATATGAAACACCCGAATAAAGAGAGCGACAGCCACGACGACCGCCATCCCGCTGAGCCTCCGACTCCTCTTATGAACGGAAACGGAAGTGGCCTCACAGTGTTGCCGAGACTACAGAAACTCAACGTTGTGTACGTTTAGCCAAATAAGAAGTGGGAAAAAATAGCGGTGGGCGAGGATCTGGGAAAGGGTAACAAGAAGTTGGCGCCACCCTAAAGCGGAGCGGAAACATGTAGGCACCCTAGGAGAGAGAAAAGCCTGGTTTTTACGCCTCATTCGAAGGCGTAGGACCTGCTCCACAGCAGCGCATCCGGTCCTCCGCCGTCGCAAAAGGCTTAGCCGGTCTTGTCTCCCTCGGTCTTATTCGGTTGCAAGCGTGAAAACGGGGCACACACACCTGTAACCACTACAACAAGCGCAGCGGGTCGTCAGCACGGCGACCGCTTCTGTACGCCGCCGTCAGCTGTGTCAGCGGCCCCTCTAAAAAAGGGGACGCACTGCTACTCAATGCCGTAACAGAATATAGACAGACAGTTTTCTAGTCCAAAGCTTTATTATTTTTTCTTGATAGGCCTGCAGGGTACAGCGAATGAAAAAAATAAAATAAAAAGATGCAGCGCCGTCTTGGACGATCACGACTCTAATACACGACATTGCAATAGTACAAATATCGCCACACGCCTTTTCTACGATTATAAAAGACAATGTAATCTTAGCAGCGATATAGCAACGTAGAAATATGATTTAGTGATCAGATAGACGTTGCGAGCGTTCAGGATTGCTAACACTAATCACTTTTCTCCGGTGATGAAAACGCGTGAAAATTCGTATCCTTTATACGGTACGCGCCAGTAATACTTGAGCTTGAGCACACGCATGAAATGCGCCAAATCAGAAATCCGGGCGATGTTCGAGGACACAAATGCTTAGAAAGCACCACTGTAGTTGAAGTAAACAAACACGACGGCACGGGCGTTTCTGCTATCTTGAGAGTGCCGCCACGACATAGCCGCACGAGTAGGTGGATGTTCCCTTCTAGTACGTGCTGGGTTATCATAGCGAAACACGACGAAAATTCACAGTCAAGGATAGCGCTTTTACGCGGAACGATGAGCTTTCACCAGGCCGTCCATTCCGACGATCACCACCGACGCCACGTTTGCGGATAGAAGGAGCCGGCCGGCCCGCGACCGGCACGACCGGCCCGCAACGCGCGGAGATACGTGCGCTTCCGCGCATCCATGGGGAACGGGAAATTCACCCCCCGCGGAGGAAGGCAAATAGAAAACGTAGTCCCTTGTTTGTGAAACGATAATTGCGCTATCGCGTATTCTAAGCTAGAAATATTTTACGTCTTGTGCAATTATCACGCACAACATATTTAAATGAACTGAAAATTGTTTTTTAGCGAAACTTTAAAAAGACCGCCAAAATTTTCAAACATACGATCATTTCATTGGTCCTCGCAAGCACAGAAAAGAGTCCGCACGTATTTTATTCCTGCGTGATTAATAGGCGTTTCTGCCTTCTAAAACTGAAGATACTCATTCCCTGACACTTCCTTAACACCATCGCACCAAAAAGTAGCTTCTCCAAAAACCGCTTGAGTGTCCCTTTAAAGTCCCTATTATCTTGATGTGAAATGAAGTACGGCCTATTTACTTGACCAAAAAATTACGAGGGAGGGTGCATGCAGCTTCCACATGTTTCATGAGCAGGCATCCACTTTTTCCTTGCTTTCGCACAATTTTTTTTTTTTTTTTGCTTAAATATAAGTTAGTGGGACAGCTTGCGGGTTTGGCACAGCCGACCCCGCTCCACATCGACGCGGGCCATTTTCGGCATTCCGCTCAAAGATTACACATCGGCGACACACCGCTCGACACGACTTTGACGTCCTGCCGCGCATCACGTCACCTAGCTGTTACCTTGCGTCAGCTGACACCAAGCATAACGTGACATTGAAGCTGCACAGTGACGCCACGATCTCAATGACGTCAGGTAACACCGTGAGTCACGTGATGTCATGGCGTCACGTGACACTATAACGTCACGTGACAATACGTCGTCACGTGACGCCATGACGGCACGTAGAAATATATACATGAGACTGCTGACAATAGAAAATAATAAGAACAAAGCGTTTTCGCTATTCATGCCAGAAAGGTTCTTGTGCGACAAAACGAATGAAGCTAGGTGGGTGTTAAGCCGGCGAAACCACGGGTGTGAGATCAGGTGGAGTTACACGCTTGAAACTTGAGCGCGCGATTTTGGATTGTTTTTCAGTACCCACAAGACGGTTCTAGTTTGTGTGCAATAACATTGCATAAGATGTTTTGGCAGCCACACCGACGATAGCGAACGGTTCGTGCATACACATGCAGTTTCCTCGTTCCCTATCTGGATTTCGAACTTGGGCGCGCGATTTTGAAGTATATTTCAATTACCAGAAGGAAGTCCTAGTTCGTGTCTAATAAAATTGTTTCACAGGTTCACGAAATGCTCCCTGCTTAATACCCCCTCATTAGTTCCAAAACGCTATGGAGTTTTTGTCCATCGTGTGTTCCTCGGTTGAATACGAAAAGCCTATGCTGACTCTATGGTGCGCGCTCGCACCTTTACCGTTAATTCAGTCCATCTGCTCCGAAATGACACCTCAGCGGCTCCAGCGTCGCACTTCAGCTGTCTCCGTGTTTCACCTCACGGGTAGCATAAGTGTTCACCCATTTCTTTTTTTCATACTGTTTTAGAGCGCACGTGAGACATTTGATTACTTAGTTAATCACGAGGACACCAGATATGGCAGTAATGACATTACTGTAATAAATTACAGTAATTAAATTACATCTTGGAGTAATGAGTAATGAAATGATTTACTTCTGTATGCTAGTAATTTATTAATCTAATGAATTACTTTCAAGCAGTAATTTCGAGAAAATTTCTTATTACTTTTGAAATTACTTTTAAAGCGAAAAATTGGAACTCTAACCAAAAATTTAATAAACATTTACCCAACGCTTCGGGACCACTTCGGTCCCTTGTTCACGGGTGAGAGACGAAAAGAAAAGAACACGCGTCGCCTAAATGCACATACGGATGTGGGGGGTGTTATGACCCGTCTACATCTCCCTGTACTTGTGAGGATTGACCTTGCATTCTGGTGCGGACGACGACCAAGCGAACGTCGAGACGGTTGGCGTGCGATCCGAACCCTTTTTGCACGTTCGACCGAAACCGGAGAAGCGTTTCTCTCGGGCCTCGGCTCAAGGGCCTCAGAACCGAAGTGGCCGTCGGTGCGTTCTGTCTACGGCGTCTGCATTCCACGGAGGCGTCTGCATTCCACGGGAGCGCCAGACAGAATCCCACCCTGAACAGATGGGCAGTCTGTTGTGTCTGCGTCTACCGCATGCAAGACAATCGCCTACTAGTCGCCCTCAATTCGGAGAAGAACAACGACCGAACATCGGAGCCGAGAGGAGGAGGCTGACGTCGAGGCCAACATTGGAATGCGGCGTTAACCAACCAATGGCACGGCAGCTCCAGAACCCCGATTTTATTATATAAAGACCTGTTCGGCTGCCCATTCGGCGCGCTCCTTTTGCCAACATGCTAAACGATATACCCATGTAAATAAACTAGTTTTCTGTTCTGTTAAGTTTTCCCAATCTGCTTCCCGACTGTCTGGCTGGGACGTTGTTCGCGAGAGAGGTTGGACGCCAGCGAGATGGCCATGCTACCCGAGAGACCAGGCTGGGCGTCGACTCATAACAGCTGGATGGCAGCGGTAGGATGCTGAACAACGCGGATCAAGACCCCCCGCAGACTCCACGGACCGATGACCACACATGTGGGTGAGTGTTCGGCTTTTGTCCCTAGAGACATACCAGGCTTTCGCTACAATTAATTGTTTGTTAGACGAAGCGGGTGGTTGAGACTATTCTGAGGCGTGGGTTTTAAAGAAGCCGTCAGGATAGTAACAGAGCCAACATTCAGAGCAATCATGAACCTCAGTTCGTTAGGCAAGGCAGATCTGATTTTGATTTGCGAGGAACTGGGTGTGGAGGGGGTGAGAAACAAAACGAAGGCGCTCATCATTGAGGCCATCAAAGCCACGGGAGCAGATGCGGATGAGCTTGCGGAGAGTTTGGACTTAGCTAAGGACAGACAAAGAGAGGAGCTCGAAAAGAGGGAGCGAAGCGACCGCATTCGTCGCGAGGAGCTCGAGCTTGAGCTAAAGAGGCAACAGCAGGAAATAGAGCTCAAGAAACTAGATCTCGAGTTAAAGAAATCTCCATCGGACGACGGAAGAGGAGCGGGCTCTGGCGGCGGAGACAGGATATCCTTCAAGATGAAAAACCTTATGCAGCCCCATAAGGTAGGAGAGGATATTGGCCTGTTTCTGGTCAATTTCGAGCGGACTTGCGAGAAGCTAGCGTTCGCTCGTAATACCTGGCCGCAGAGACTGCTAACCCTGTTGCCGTGTCAAGCAGCCGACGTCGTAGCGCGGCTCTCAAAGGAGGACGCTGAGTGCTACGACGTGGTGAAGTCGAATCTCCTTAAGAGATACCGTCTTTCCACGGAGGCGTTCCGGCTGCGCTTTCGACAGGCCAAAAAGGGGAAGGACGAATCATACCTCGAGTTTGCGTATGACCTAAAGGCCAATCTCATTGAATGGCTAAAGAGTGCTGAAGTATTCGACAATCTCGAGAGTGTGGTGGAGTGCTTCTGCTTGGAGCAGTTTTATCGCTCCATCCCTGAGCAGACGCGACTCTGGATCCTCGACCAGAGGGAAGTAAAAACAGCCCAGAGGGCAGCAGAGCTGGCGGAGGAGTACGCGGTACGCAGAAACCTTCGCGAGGAGGACCGCTATGGTTCGGGTCGCCGGGACACAGAGCCACAAGGCTATTCACGAAAAGGAAAATTCGGAGAACGAGAAAATCTCACAAAGGAGGCTGCGCCCGAAACCCAAGGTAACGAAAGGGGGAGTCGTCCTAATGAGGAACATCAAGCGATCAAGGAGAGTTCGGGCACAAAGCCTGAACAAAAGACGGCGTTCGAAGCCAAGAAGCCGATGGTGTGCTTCAAGTGTCAAAAACCGGGGCATATCGCGGCCGGATGTAGGTCTCCCAACGTCGTGTTTTCCTACATAAGTGAGAACGAGGAAAACCGGCGGCTGCTGGAGCCGTACTTGAGCGACCTGACTGTGAACGGGAAAGCGTGCAAAGTTCTCCGAGACTCGGCTGCCACAATGGACGTGATCCACCCAACCTACGTAGACCCCAACGGGTACACAGGGGGTTATGCGTGGATCAGGCAGGTAGTCGAGGAGCACAGTGTGTGCCTCCCGGTCGCCCGAGTTTGCATAGAGGGTCCGTTCGGTACGCTCCACACCGAGGCTGCGGTGTCCAGCAGCCTGCCGCTTCATTACCCCTACATCTTCTCAAACAAGTCTGATCAGATGCTCCGACAGAAGGGTCTTAGCTTTTCAGTGGGTTCTGTTCAAGCTCTAACTCGCTCTAAGGCACGGGACCTTGCTACAAAATTTCAGTACGAATTAAAGTGCTCGGATTCGGCTGAGACGGCGTGTAAAGAAGTTACCGACGAAAAAACTAAGGATCAGGCGGACAGTGCTCAGGCACCTGTAAGGGAGACTGATCCCGAGATCACGGAGGCTGAGCCAAGCGCGGCAGAAGACGCTCAGCATCTCGCAGGGGAGCTGGAGCCAGAGGGAATCGCCTTGACACTGGCGTCAGCTAGTTTTCAGAGGCTCTTGAGCGTCGAGCGATCAACTTTGATCGCAGAGCAGGAGGGGGATCATTCGCTCCAAAACTTGAATGAGTGTTGCCAGGAAGGCCTAGCTCGGAAGAACGTTATGTTCCGCAAGCGATCGGGTGTCTTGTACCGAAAGTATCGAGACCGCAAAGGGGTACAATTTGGTCAACTTGTCGTGCCAAGCAGGTACCGACGAGACCTTCTCCACCTGTCCCACGGCGGCTCGTGGTCTGGCCATTTGGGGATCAAAAAGGCGAAGGCACGCTTGTTGCAGGAATATTACTGGTCTGCTACGTTGCCGGGACGAGGTTTACCATTGAAACAGACCGTTGTCCTCTCACCTGGCTAAGGAACATGTCGCCCAAAAATGGTCGTCTGCTCCGCTGGAGCCTCGCGCTGCAGCAATATTCGTTTGACGTTAAGTACAAGCGGGGTAAACTGCATACGAACGCCGACAGCTTGAGCCGCTGCTCCTAGGCTGATGAAATCCATGTAACGCATTTTACCCTTATGCGGAAAGTCTATGTGTGCGTCCACAAAACTGTTAGTGAAGTATTGATACTGGGTTTTAAGGAGTATTCCTAGTTTGTTTGACTCTTAACTGTGCATTTACGCTAGTTATTTTGGGGTTTCTTTTCACGGGAGTCCGAGTTTATTGCTTCAATGTTGAATTTTGTTTTGCTTTTGTTAAGAACCTTTTGGTGTTATGCCTGGTGTGTCTCAAGGGATGGGCTGGGCGCTTGCTTACTGAGTGGTTTGAGGTTGTCGACAGCGGGAGTCCTGGTTATCATTGTTGATGAACCCACCCAAAACACAGCATATGCAAGACCTAAAGCGGCTGGGATTACAGCGTCACCACCCCAGCGTCATCGACTGCGATCTTCGGCCGAGTGGCTGCTGACCGACTCCACCTCAGGATCGACTTCGGGCGGCGGAGGTGCTGTTATGACCCGTCTACATCTCCCTGTACTTGTGAGGATTGACCTTGCATTCTGGTGCGGACGACGACCAAGCGAACGTCGAGACGGTTGGCGTGCGATCCGAACCCTTTTTGCACGTTCGACCGAAACCGGAGAAGCGTTTCCCTCGGGCCTCGGCTCAAGGGCCTCAGAACCGAAGTGGCCGTCGGTGCGTTCTGTCTACGGCGTCTGCATTCCACGGAGGCGTCTGCATTCCACGGGAGCGCCAGACAGAATCCCACCCTGAACAGATGGGCAGTCTGTTGTGTCTGCGTCTACCGCATGCAAGACAATCGCCTACTAGTCGCCCTCAATTCGGAGAAGAACAACGACCGAACATCGGAGCCGAGAGGAGGAGGCTGACGTCGAGGCCAACATTGGAATGCGGTGTTAACCAACCAATGGCACGGCAGCTCCAGAACCCCGATTTTATTATATAAAGACCGGTTCGGCTGCCCATTCGGCGCGCTCCTTTTGCCAACATGCTAAACGATATACCCATGTAAATAAACTAGTTTTCTGTTCGGTTAAGTTTTCCCAATCTGCTTCCCGACTGTCTGGCTGGGACGTTGTTCGCGAGAGAGGTTGGACGCCAGCGAGATGGCCATGCTACCCGAGAGACCAGGCTGGGCGTCGACTCATAACAGGGGCATTGCTCACGTCACGCAGTCCCGAGACGTAACTGCTGGACAGGGAGCCCGAAGAACGATTCACGTTCCCCTTTGTGTGCAGGATTACCTTTGTCTGAAATTAGAAAGTTCGTTTGCAAGCTTTAAAAGAGAAGAGAAAAATTATTTTGCATGGTAGTAAAAGAGCATCACAGGAAATAAACGACGGTCACCTGAGTGCAAAGTATTGTACTAAGAGCTCGACAGACGCACAAAGGAGGGCTGGAAAGTCGAAGGAGAAAAGCTTACGTGTATAGACATCGCTAGAAAGCAACAGCTTACGAACTCCAGGCACGACAGATTCACGGCATTGCGTCATCACGACGATACTATATTTCGCTCATCCCTCAGCTGACAGTTCGGCGGGAGCTGCAAGCTAACCAGAACCAATCAAACACCTTCCTTTAATCACCTGTCCCGCCCTCTGCGCGTGGGTATGAACGAGGGCGTGGCTACGTGGCGAACGATAGACGTGTGACTGCTCCAACAAACACGTAGCTTCCACCGTTCATCCCTAGGCTGGCAGTGCGTCAGCTTAGGGATGAACAGCTCATAGGCTACAAGGCGACGGGCACATCACCAGTGAGTTAAACCATAACTTAAAACCTGAGAGGCCACGACAAACAGATCCCCAGCCTTGTACTTTCGTCAAGCAAGGTCAAACCGTAAGTTTCGACCATTGTGAACAAGAAACGACCGGGATAAGTAGTTAATTCCAAATGTCCTGTCAAAACCCCAAAACGTTTCGTGCGTCCTCGAGCAGAGCAGGTTCCGCTCGTGGTATTCCTCCCTGCCTTTCCTTGGGAAACTTATTCGGGGGAAAGCCTAGAAGCGGGTAACGCCACCTGCTTGTTGGGAAAGTACACAATTTAGGAAGCCCGCGCCATTTCTCAGCTGGCGACGCTTCTGCTTAGCAACTATCCAGGCCCTTTGTGTGACAATGTGCAAACATTTGGGCTCTTCGGATGTTCGGGAGAAATGCTCCTTGAAAGAAATGACCGAGAATAGGTCAATTATGCTCGGCGACAAAGTTTCATGGCAATGCAGTGGAGGGTACAGGCACGCGTTGCCTCTCTCATTTTGAGCGCTGAATAAAGCTGTGCGCGGGCTCTCCTCCTCTTCACTTCATTGCCAAGAAAAGTTGTCGCCGAGTACAGTGCTCTTGGGAGAATAGAATCAGATTGCGTCCGAGGCGGAAGGAAAACGTTTCACGTGACGACTCCTAAGAACGAGCTGTCATTGTCCGACTTAACAAACTGACACGGACTACAACTTGAAAATCAAGAAGACGGAAACATATCACCCTTTTAGTAGGGACCTTCACCGTTGAATCAACAGCCAAACCGGTGAGCCGACTGTCTTTCTGAGTCACATCTAAAGAAGCTATTCATCATGTCTAACACATATGTCATGCGCGCTAGCAAAACCACTGTTCAGTATGGTACATATTAAGGCACATATGGTTGTTGCGGTGTAAACAGGAAGATCTGAGTTTTGGTACATATAGACCCACTTTTGACATCATATCACTACTGTGGCGCTGCTGTCGACAGTGCGCATGCGCAGCGCCTCGCTTCTCTCGGATATGGTTCCTGCACACGCGCTGTGGGGGCAAACGAGGGCTTGTTTTGTAAACACTGTATTGGTGTGTGCGGAAAATAAAATAAGCGCGAATTACTGCCTCGTGGTATTCAAAAGTAATGTCAAAGTAATTTCATTACTTTCGGAAAGTAATTGCAATGTAATGTAATTACGTTTAGTCTACGGTAATTTGTAATGTAATTTAATTCCATTTTTTGCAGTTTTCAGGAAAGTAATTAAGGTAATTTAATTACTTTTGAAAGTAATTTTGCCATCTCTGGAGCACACTTTCTCGTAGTATCACTCTTCAAGTCACATAAAATTCAATATCCTTCCGTCCAAATGACCTTTTAAGGATACCAGTAGAATCCTTAAACACCAACACAAGTGTAATGAAAGAAAAAGAGTCGCCATCTCGTTCCGATCCGCCATCCTCCGACCAACAAAGAAGGGACAATACACGTCCCAAGAGGAAACCACGAATAAAACGGCACCGAAAACAAAAGTACAACAAACATTACCTCACCTCAAACTTCCGACAGCTCTCGCTGTTCACCCAGCAAAATCACATACGAGTGACCGGTCTTCCTCGAAACACACGAACGCGAAGTGGAGACCGTGCCACTATCGATCTTCGGCGACAGCCAGTATGTGATCCACGCCTTCCTCTTCGGCGGCTGTATATGCAAAAAGGCTGCCAGAAGGACAGCTCCGTGTTCCACTGAAACAAAATAAAAAAAAAAATACAAAAGGCGACGACGTTCGCTTAATGCGCCTGGTCATCGCCAGGCAGACGGTGTCATTCTACATTCGGCCGAGGCGAGTCCGCATCGCCAACGACGCGTCCGCGGGCAACGGCTGACGCCGTAACTAAATCACCTGGCTGACTGCAGACTGAGAGATCGATGCGTGCCAACCTCCTCGCAGTCATCATCCGCTGCTCATGACGAAAACATAAGATGGCCGTCCGCCCGCCGCCGCCCCTTTCCTTCGGGAGCGCAAGCACGGCCCTTCCGAAGTCGTCCGTGTTGTAATATATATACCCCATGCTTCACTGCTGTGTCCAGACTAGTCCGGGGCGCCGGCGTCACGTTGGTAATGACACCGGTTTTCTTCGCTGTCCCTATACGGGTTCTGTTTTCTTTTGGGCATTCTCATTCGTTTAAATTATTTCTTCCGGTTGACTTTTTTTTTTTTTTTTGCCAGTAGGTGTCGTTTGTTGTCGGAGTCTCGCCTGAATTGTGGCGATTCGCAACTCCCATGTGGTTAGGGAAAGGGGTCTCGATGCTTCGGTGCGCTGCTCGAGGGGCGAGACATTCTCGAGATGGTGAAATGGCAATCTTTGAGTATGTTCTCTCGCCGATGGCAGTCGTCAAACGGGTCGTTTCACTTTGAAAATGTTTTCATTTGTTTTTCTTTATACGCGAACAGATTTTTATAATCTCCAATGAACTAAAAAAATGCAGCGGCGATGGAAAAAAAAGCATTATAGAGAAGATGTAGATAAACACTCAGATAGATACAGATAGATACGCAACTCCCCATATTCAGAACACAGATTAAGACAGAAGGCACGGGCTTTTGAATGCACATCGCGGTTCTCAGTTCCTGCGATAACCTAAATAAAAAAAAAAATGGTATTATATTTTTAATGCGTAGAGTGTAGATCAGAGCTCTGGACGGGCCTACTTCTTGAGGCCCAGCCCGACGCTGACCTGCTGACTCTCAGTCTTACCCGACCAGTCCCTGGTCGGGCTTGATGGGATGCCTGCCCGTCAGGCCAGGCTCGGCCCGGCACCGGTTGGAGGCAACTCGACTCTGGGGCATGTCCTCACATTGTTCTTGAGCCCAAGAACAATGTGTCCGGGAGGGCTCTAATGCAGGTACATACTCCAGCTACTTTTCCACTTAGTCATAGCGCTGATATAGATAGTCATTATGATGTGGAACAAGCTTTTGGGTACCCTCCCCACAGAAGGTTGCCACCTGAATTCTCAGTCATTCCCCCATAAGTTGAACAAGACCTTCAGTCGCCATGAACGTTCTTCCTCCATCATCAAGGATGTTTATTCGCCCTTCCTCAAGCTTCATGCAGTTTTCTCAATGCACATCAAATGTATGTCTGTGGCGAATGGCCGTCC